GGGGACTCGCTACGATTTTTAAGTCGTATGTCTACATATCCATTTATGAGGAATCAGAGTCTCAGTTCGTAGTTCGTAGTGTTGGTTGGTGTTTTTTAAAGGATTGCATATAATTGATTTCAAATTATCCTTGAACCTTATTTAGGTTGTAAGTTGAGTGATCGTAGACGCAGTTCGTAGTTAATTTTGAAAGTAATTATATTTAATCCTTTTTTCGAAAACGTCTTAGGTTTTATTATGTTAGTAGAAAAATGATTTGATTGTTGGTTCGCTATTTTAAGTGTTTCATTAATAAAGAGTATCGTAGGGTACAAAGCGGGGGTGAGGATATTAATGGTCCAAGTTCAGAAATTGAACTCGGCTCATTTACACACATGGGTGTAAAATTAAGACTAGGTGGTGTATTAGAAGAACATTTAGACCCAAATATATTTTGAGCCCAAATTGACTGAGGGGTGCGTTTTGCAACAAGGTAATCAAATATGAGGGTCTGAGACGTGAGAGCCCAAGTTCAGATATTGGACTGGGCCTAAAATACAGGTGGGGGTGTAAACTTAGTTTAGTAGTAAAATACATGGGTGTGTAAGTAGTAAGGGTCCAAGTTAAGAAATTGAATTTGACCCAATTAAGTAGCAGAGTTTAGTAATATCTTTGTAAAATATTAAATTAATTAATTGAGAAAAAATTGTTTGTATTTTTATTTACAAATGATGAATATTTTTGATTTAATAATAATAAAAAACTAATTAAATTTTCACCCTATTAATAGGATAAATAAAAATTATTTACACCCTAAAAGATAAAAAGGAAAGTCAAACTAAAAATACATTATTTAATATTATAAAATAACTTACATAGAAACTAAGTACTATGAACAAAATTAGTTTCAACAGTATATAAAACTTAGCCTACAACTTATTTGATTATAAATTTTATACAATTCACCCTTGTTGCATTATCCTTAATATTAAAAATTATAGAGAATAAAACAAAAAAACAAACAAAACTAAAATCGTGACTAATGCCTACTACCTCTGATTTTTCTACACCACTTACTATCAATACTCATGGTTCATAGGAGTCAAATATATATAACACATGGTAAACACATATGATAAAATAAATAAAACATAAGCATAAGTAGAAAAACTTACCCGAAGGTCACAACATCAACGATAGAAATCTGTGTGTAGAGGTTGTGTGTGATAGTGTTAGAAAACTTATCCCCAATTGTGAGAAAATTTTTAGGTGTTCTGTTCAGAACCCTAAAATAATTGTTGATATGATTATTGATCTCCAAATGATTATTGATGGAGACTTCAGGATTTCTTTGTTGTTGTTCTTCGATTTGAAGATCAATAACTTTTAGGAGAACTCTAGTGAGTTGTGGATGAAAAATAGTGTGAAAGAGTGATCTATTTATAGTCATAATTAGATCAACAAATTAGAAAATAAAGTTAATTGACAAATCAAATTTTACTTGGTCACCAAGCTAACCAATCATAAGATGAGTATGACACAAATTGACATTGATTGACCAATAAAAAACAATTAAACATAAAAGGAAATATTTTTGGTATTTATTATAATTTTTGCATTCCATTTTAGTAAAAAGTGTATAAAATCAAGTAAATAATTTTTTAAAAAAATGCATTAATTAAAAGTATGAAAGTAATATTTAAATAATAAAAAAATGGTTTTTTTTGTGATTTTTTTAATACAAATGAAAATAAAATTAGTAACAGACAAAAAAATATTTATAGTGCACCAAGTGAGATTCAAACACATGATCTTATGTTTGTAAGCTTTATTCCTTACCAATTATGCTATGTTGCTTATTTAAAACAAAAGTCCAATTAAAAGTACATGAAAACGATCAAGTATTTGTTATTTTAAAAATTACAAATAAATTATTACGTATATTTTTAAATAAGTAAAATAATTTAAAAATGAATATTTATAAAAATCAAAGAATGTTAGGGTAAACGAACCAAAAGAATTTTTAAAACCTAATTTTGAAAATAATTTTGACTATAGCACCGATGCGGGAAAATTTGAGACATGACATAATGAAGAAGCGAAAATTCTGAAAGTGGAACCAAAATTACTGAACAAACATGTAAAAGTACCTGAAATTAATGGAAACGAAAATCTGTTGAGCAATGAAACTGAATCTGAAAATAAATCGAAGTTAAAGTTGTTAAACAAAGATATGAAAACTGTTAAAAAATGGAAGAAGTTGTTGATAAATTATTGTGAAGTAAACTATACAAAATATATTGAGTTGTCATTCTTGTTTCCATGTGGTGAAGCTTTTGAATCAAACGATTTTTTTCTGCAGAAATTATGGATAACAAAAAAGATGTTATCACTACTGCCGAAAAAATAGAAGTGTGGGAAAAATAGGGTGAAAAAGAACTTTTGAAAAAGAAAGTTATTTGGGTTAAGTTTGGGGAAGAGAATTAATATATATTATAAACATTGATAAAAGAAGATTTAATTGACTTGATTGACATTGATGTTGATGTTAAATTTCGGTTCAAAACGAACCACACAAATATTGCAAATTTCAATAGAAAGAAAATTAGAATAGTTAAAATAAAACCATAATATAAACATAGTTGAAAAAAATAATGAAAATGGACATCAAAAATCCCTAATTCGAACACATGGATGATGAAAAGATTGGGGTAAAGTTAGTGTTTCCAGAGTCATTAATCTTCTTATATTATAGATAAAAATATAATACATTGAAAAAAAGAATGCGCCACACATTACACATAGACATTTTATGCGTATAACCATCTTTTTCAATTTTATTTCCATACTAACCATCATTTTCACCTATTTCCCAAAATAACCCACTTTTTAATTAAAAAAAATAGAACACCTCTTCATTCTAATTTTTTATCTGAAAGTTAATTGCTTTAAAAAAATATATAAATGGAAATTTGATAAATATTATGGAAATAAAATTGAAAACAAATGATTTTTTGCTCAAAATTTTCGGCTACACCTTGCAATTACCATTTTAAAGTGAATTACAACTATTAAATTAAATATTTAAAAACGGTATTACTTTTTAAAATTAAAATAATAAATAATATATTTTTTTAATAATGATAGTGTGTAGTATAATAAAATTGTTTAAACTATAATAAATAAGAGAGAGAAAAAGCGAAGTAAAAGTCGACGAAACAGAAACGAATCTACGTTACTCTCTCTGCTCAAAGCTTCGACCTGACAAATTTCCGCGCCCACCTCTAGGGTTTCTGTCTCCACTCGCTACCCACTCTTCGTCACTCACTCGTGAGTTTTCTCTTAACCTTACTATGCTTTCGTTCTTCTATGTCTTATCTAGGGTTTACTATATCTCTCTCAATTTCAATTTCGAGCTTGTTTTGAAACCTAATTTACTTTATCGTTAATTACTTTTGATGCGTATCTGCTTCAATTTGAATGTTATGTCTATTCGAATATATTGCCTGTGTATCGATTCGTACTATTATCTATGGTTTATGCCCAAGATTAATACGTATACTTAAGATTTTCCCCATCGCAAATACTGAGTGAATTTTGAAGACATGAAAATGATGTACCGTTCAAACTGCGACCGCTGCGAATTCTTAGAACTACTCTTCTTCTGATTCGTCGTTGTGCTTTAATATTATTTTTTAATCCAAAGCACTACTTCATTCTTTAGTTTTTCATCCATAAATCTAACTGCGTGACCTAGATGCTAAGACGTTAGTTAGTAGGTAGTTCCATAGTTGGGTCGGGGTCCCTTCCTATGTGATTTAGTTCTATGTATCTCAGTAAGAGTACGTTATTCCAAGTGCTAATATGAGATACAATTTTTCTGCAGTAATTTCATGTGATCAATGCGTGGAGGTCTTACCAAGTTCAATCAAAGTAGCTGACATTAATGTTTCAAATGGCATTTGATCTTTCCGCAAAAGGGATATTGGATATTTAACTCGTTAATCGATTTGGTATTGGATGGTTTTGAAAGGGAGAAGCCTTCCATATATTCCAAGATAGCCCAAGATAGCAGAATAAACCACTGGCTAGTTCAATGACGGGAAATGATGAGTCACATTATCTTATTAAGTTTTACCAGACTCATTAGTGCCCTATACACATCAAGAAAAATATTGGAGGAAGTCATGCGATCTGAGTTTAAGTGGCCAGTTGTTGAATGTTTTGAAGACTGTACGAGATGCTTTGAATCTTAGATGTTATAAAAGTGCTGTACAAGTGCCATCACATCACATATATAGATCTTTCATTGTTTGAAAGATCTAGACTTGTGTGTTTGGCTGACCGATGATTAGAAGCATCTTTGCTCAAATAAACTGACATCAATTTCTGACTTGGCATATGCTCTCCTTAATATGACTACACCAACTAGTTACATATGACTAAAAGGAGTCTCTCTGAATTTAGACTTGCAAGCTAGTTGCATTACTAAAGGTTTATGTATTTATTAGGTTTATGCATTCATTAAGAAATGCTTAGGCTGAGTTTGATGTATCATATAAGGAAAATATGATCGAGAGCAAACACTATTAGAGATGTTTGGTATTACGACCAAAGCTTCTTATCCCAATTCAACCTGTCAAAACTATCTTCTCATGAGCCAATTATATAATTTTATAGGATACTCTTTCAGCCTTGGTTTTTGTTTATCAAACATTTGCCATTACTGTGCTATTTAGATCCTCTTTCCATGTTAATCTGGTATAGTCAGTGAATTATACATACTCGACTTCTCCCATTGGCAGTGATGAGGCTCTTTGGAAGTTTTTTTTCATTGCTTTATATCTCAGTTGAGATTTCCTTGCTTTGAGGACGTTGAGAAAAAATGATAATTTGGTGCTATAGAGACCGTTCCACTTGTTCCAGGGATCAGAGATGAAGAAAGATGTGGGAAAATGGAACAGAAATATCAAGTTTCACTCTAAGCTGTTTTATTGGAGGTCATGCATAGCTATGTTTCTTTATGTTCTTTTGCTACCTTGGCTGAAGTATTGACTCCTTTTTCCGTGGAGGGAGGACTTTTTCCGCTGCAATGGAGACGGCAGGGCTACCTTCTCCATTCTCTTGATATATTTAATTCTAACAAAATTGGCAGTTTTGTTATAATAAAGATATTTGTATTTGATAGAAAAATCAAGAGAGATTGAATCACTGTCGCGAGGAAATTTATTAAAAAGAAAGTAAAGTAAGATCAAAGCTCCCAGGAAAAGAGTAAACATCTGGTCCCAAGCTCAGCTGAAAAGGTGAAAGAAATTCCATACCCCTCCCTCATGACTAACCATCCTGTTTAGAAAATCCCCACCAATCTATTTTCTTACTAGCTTTCTTGAAACAGGTATTAATCCCCATCTATCTACTAGAATAAACTTGCAAAAGCATTTTGGGCTTAATATTAAATCTGTGTCTGGTCTACACCTTTTTTAAAAAAAAATTATTGTAACAATGAACAAACACACTCTTTTTTACAGCGGGGCCTTATATTTTTTCTTTTTATTGTTGGGCGATAATGCCCTTATGCACTCTATCCTCCTTATGGATCAGTTTTATCAAGGTATTGGAAGAATTTGTAGACGACTCTATGAATCTGTTTTGACTCTTATGGTGTTGTGTCCAATCTTGCGTTGAATGAATTTTTCAACCTCCAAAATTTAGACTTTATCTCAGACCTTCCTTGAAGGTGGAAAGTAGGGAGGGTAAATGAAAGGTTGGATTTTTAATTCTCTTTTTACACTGTAGAGAAGGTGAATGATCAATGGATTAAAAACTAATTTCAATTCTCTTGCATAGTAGGAACGAAATTCAAGGAATAGAGTTATTTATGATTATGATCAAATTCAATGCCCATTATTAATTTTTAAAGCAAAACGTAATGGTGTGAACAAAATTTGTAATACTCCATCCACATTTTTAGCATGAATTCTATTCTTGGCTTTTTAATTATTCACAATGCCATTCATATTGTTTGGACTATTGGAATTGTATTTGCTCAAAACATCACCGAGTTTCTATGAAATCGTAAATGATAAAGTGGTTAGGATAAATTGTGCCTCTTAGTTAAATAGTAATGTGTTGATTTAATCCTCAAATGCTAAAATAGTATTTTTCACTAATTGTTTCTCTATGGGATAGATGTTTTTCTGTGCTGTTTTTTTTTTATTGACGCTTCTGGGGCATTCTTTCCTAGTTTTCCTTGTATCTTATAGTCATGTATGCAAAAATTAGTTGAACGAGGATAGGTTTCAGGTTTCTGGTGATTCATTATATTGTCGTTGTTAATTCAGAGCACACTGCATTATTCAAAGACAAGCTCTTTTGTTGACATGAGTGGAAGTGATAGAAAGCGCTCTTCAAAGTGGGATTTGAGTGATGAACCCAAATTCACATCCAGTAGCAAGCCAATACGGTCTGCGCGGTCCTCTGCTGATGTTGCTGGTAGCAATAGTTCAAAATGGGCTTATTCAGAAGGAAATGATAACTTAAGACCTGTTATGAGATATTCATCGAAGGAATATTTTTCTGGAGATAGATGTTCAAATGAGGAAGATGCTATGATTAAAGATCATAGAGTGTTGGATACAAGAAAATGGGACACTGATGGAAGTTATGAGGAATGGAAACAAAAGAGACACAGTCGTTCTCCTAAAAATGCTTGGAGCAGGTCAGTCTGATTTTATTTTCTGAATATTGATATTGATGGAAGCTTTATATACATTTTTTTTTCCGTTTTTTACTGACATTTTATTCTTCCAGCATGACTTTAGACCTATTTTGTTCTGTATATTTTAAGAGAATGAGATTACAAGGAAATGCACACACACACTCACACACGACATAAATGGGCTTATGGGCCCAATACGTCATATCTAGTAGTCTAGCAGTTATATCTTGACTAAAATGACAGTTTTATTTTCTAGAGTAATGATCAGAAGGTGGAGTTTTAAAGACAATTTACCATTTATCTATTTTGACATGTTATGCCTTATTTTGGAGGATGCTTTCCATGTCTGTATTTGTGTCAAAGAAATTTTTTCTTAATGAGTATTTGCTTTCATTTTGAGCACATCCTTGAACTCAGTATAGATTTTTGTGAAGGTATTAATTATTTTTGAGTGATGTCATCATTTCCACTATTGAATGTTATTGAAGATATTCTGATAATATTATGGCAATTGTTATAATATTTCTTGATGCTGTTATTTTGTTTTGTTTTGTTTTAACTCTGTCTTCCCTTGAATTTTTGTCATTGTCAGAAGCAGTCGGAGCCGTAGCCGTAGCCCTCCTCGTGGTTATAGGCGGGATTCGGGAGTTGATGATAGAAAAAGGATGAGGGTTGGAGGATCAACACGACCATGCAGAGATTTTGCTGCTGGTAATTGCAGAAGAGGCAGTCTTTGCAACTTTGTGCATCATGATGACCAAAATCATGAGGATAGTTGGGAAGGTAAGCACAGGGAAGATGGAGCTCCCCGATACTCTTCTACCCATGAGAGCGGCGACCATTCTTTTAAGAGTGGTAGATCTAATAAAGTTTGTATAAATTTTGCAAAAGGCAGCTGTAGAATGGGAGCATCTTGCAAGTATGTGCATGATAACGATTCTGATGGATATGGTAAAGTTTCTGTGGACGAGTTCACTAGAGAAAGGGAAGATGGAGGAGCTCCCAGATATTTTGCTACCCATGAGAGAGAGGACCGTCCTCTTAAGAGTGGTAGATCTAATGAAGCTTGTATAAATTTTGCAAAAGGAGGAAGGTGTAGAATGGGAACATCTTGCAAGTTTGTGCATGATAATGACTCTGATGGATATGGCAAAGTATTTATGGATGAATTCACTAGAGAAAGGGAAATTGACAGAAGGCACAGAGATGATTCTTTTGAACAGAGAGGCGGGCATGTGCCTAGCCGCACTAGTGATACGCCTTGCAAATTTTTTGCTAGTGGAAATTGTCGAAATGGTAAATATTGTAGGTTTTCTCACGATAGGCAAGCATTTAAGAGCCCTAATAGAAGATTAAGGGATGATAGATGGGCAAGAAATCCAGGTGGAGATCATCAAATGGATAGACGAAAGTTGAGCGATTCCATTAGTCCAAATAGAAGGCTAAGAGATGATAGGTGGGGTTCAGATGGCGACTTGGCTGATTCAGATAGAGTTGGGGACAGGCCAAAGCGGAGCGATATAATTTCTGTCTCTGATACAGCAAAGCTGATGGAGAATGAAAGTGGAAATGTAGGTGCCACAGAGCCAGGATTTACTGCTTTGCCGATGACAGATGAATGGGGGCATGGTTTAGATAAGAGCAGGCTGCATGGTACACCGCCAATTTCAAATGATAAGAAGGAAGCCAATCGCTGGCTAGCAGGAAATACTGGTGCCAACATGCACGGTTCCCAGTCATTAGGCACAGCGGACATTTGGCCAGGTGATGCAGAAATGTCTCCTGATTGGAATTATAAGACAGGATCTTCTAGTCATATGGAAGAAGATGCACAGAATAAGCGTGGTATAAGCCAGGATGATACGTATTTAGCCATCTCTGAACAGGACAGAATACAACTTGCTCCAGGTAAGCACATGCTTGATGTTCCTCTAACTGTGCAGCCCTTATAAATTTAACCCAAAATTTAACAAGTATAATTTTGTTTAATTGAAAGGTGATGATAAATGTGAAAAATAGTTTTAGCAGATTCTCACAGACCTAATACTTTCTACTGGTGTTTTTCTAGGTCAAAGCATCAACCAGAATGCACAGAATGTAAATCCCTTGCATACTTCCAGCAGCCATGCAGTTGGACAAAGTCAACTAGATGTTCGTACTTTTCCTTCAAGAGAAGGAACTGTTGATGCTACCCACAGCCGAGAAGTATCATCTACTGAGAAAAAGTACTCCGTGGAACCAAATCCCTTGCATACTTCCAGCAGCCATGCAGTTGGACAAAGTCAACTGGATGTTCGTACTTTTCCTTCAAGAGAAGGAACTGTTGATGCTACCCGCAGCCAAGAAGCATCTACTGAGAAAAAGCACAATGTGGAACCAAATATCATGGATTCGGGCTTATCACAAGTTGGTTCAATAAATCCTCCAACTCAAAATGCGGTAAGCAATGAACAGCTTGCCCAACTCACGGATCTATCAGCCTCTCTGGCTCATATCCTTGGATCAGGTCAGCAGCTGCCGCAGCTATACGCTGCCTTAAATTCTCACGATTTAAATGACAGTCCTTCCCAAGCAAATACTCAAGTGCCTGCAATGCCTGTTTCAAACACATGCATAAAGCCGGATCCTGCTGTTGGGCTCTCAAAGCAGTATGATCCAATGAATGGTAGTAATGAGCAAAAGAATGCTGATGCAAGTGGAGTGCCGCCAACCATTCCTCCAAGTAAAAATATCGCCAAAGTAGAAATTCTGCCACAGTTGTCTAATTTAGGAAAACAAATTTATGGTGATTCTATTAAGGGTGCCTCCTCAGAACTTATCATGAGTGACAATCTAATCCGTTTGCAGCCTGGTCATAACACAGTGGTTTATAACAATGAAGAGGTAGCTAAGGAAAGGAAGAATTCTCAAGATGATCTTAAAAGTACAAAAGAGAATGGTCCACAAAACATGGACCAAGATGGTAAATCTGATGATGCCAAACAAACAAAGGATACGAAAGGGATTCGTGCATTTAAATTTGCACTGGCTGAGTTTGTTAAGGAGCTTTTGAAACCAGCATGGAAAGAAGGTCAAATAGATAAAGAAAATTATAAAACAATTGTCAAGAAAGTTGTTGAAAAAGTATCGAGTACCATGCAGGGGGCCAACATTCCTCAGACTCAAGAGAAAATTGACCAATATTTGTCATTTTCAAAGCCAAAGGTTAACAAACTTGTACAGGTCAGTTAGTGGTGGTAACTTACTACCATTTTGTTTTAGAAGAATTCCAAGTCATCTCCATTTTCTTTTTAAATATGAAGGTGGATTTAGATTAAACTCAGGAAGTCATTGCATTTGTTGAAAGCTTAATCTTTATGTTCGATATCTTCTATTGTTGAAAAAAAGTATGGTCCTGTTTATATAATTTAACGTGTGACAAAGACTTGTAAAAAATTTAGTTAGGAGGGTGTACCAAATAGAGGATTGTCCAATTTTAAAAGAATAGGGAAACCAAAGAAATCTATAGGTCGATCCATTAAATGATACTGACTTAACTGATCAATACGCAAACTTGATTTATTACATGGCGTTGTTTGACCAATGCATCAAGCCCACATCATGCATGAGCATATATTGTTTAGTGGGAGCAATTCTTACATTACAAGTCGGTTTTATAAGGTTGTGTTTGTGGCCCAATCACAATTTTAAGATGATATCAAAGTCTGATTCAAGTTTCGGTAGACCATATGCTATTAGGTTTCTATTATTGTGCCACCCACATAGTTCTGGACGTGAGGGCAATCTTTACTTTACAAGCCGATTTTATTAGACTGTGTTAAGTTCAACTACAATTCTAAGAACTGTAATCGATTGTAATTGATTTGGAAAGTTTAGATATGTATATTTGTAATGTCTCATTGTATTTTGCCATTAGAGATAACATGTTAGCTTCTGCATTTACGTTGCGTTCAGAAATTATCTTGTCTACGGTGTGAAACTATGACTATTAATTCATTGTTGCCTTTCTATCTTGTAATATAATCCGTCTCTTTTATTGCAGGCCTATGTAGAAAAGGTTCAGAAGGGTTAGCGGTATTATAGAAATTTGGCTGCCAAATTACTTGGTGTTTGTCCTTTTCAATTTGCACTCTTTCTTCTTACTTCTGGAATTGTTTTGCCCTTTGTTCGTTCGGTTACCCTGTTCCCATATCTTTGCATCTCTTGCAAACATATAAGAGATTTCTTTTTTGGACTTTGTTTTTCCTGATTTTTGTGGGATAAAATGTCTGGTATTTGGGCCATCAGTTTGTAGCTTTAATGTTAGGCAATGGCCATGTGGTTTTTCTTTTCAAAATTAGTTTGTATTGTAATCATAGTGTAGACATCCGTTTTTGTTTTTCTTTCCTAAGACATGGAACCAAAAGATAACCAGGCTTTTAGATTGGATGGTTAAGTTGGATGCTGATTCTTTCAAGCTTGGTGCTTGTGTGGCCTTGAAACGACAGTCTTAATTGTCAATTAATTGTCTGTCTTGTTCTGTGGCAGACTGGCAGTCGGTCTATTTAGTATTTATAACCACTGAATCCATAATTTTGGCCAGTTGTAATTTTAGTCAAACTTAACGTGTTACAATAGCATTGGATTTAAAGTTTGACGATTTTATGTTTGTTAATACTTCCAAGCGTGTGTTTGGTTCTACTGTTGAATTGATTATATCTAAAATGTGTTAGTGATTTATCTTTAAATAAATTTATGTAGAAGTTAGTTTAATGGTAAATTTTAATGTAAAATCATGTTTAAATTTAAAAGCTATAAATTTTAATTTTAAGCAGAATTAGTTTTATTTTAAGAGAACCAAGCTTTTCAAAGTATGTGTTTGGTTCTGAAACTGATTGTTTAAAAGTGATGAGAATTGATTTTGATTGAATTGATTTTATAGAATTGAAACTGATTGTTTAAAAGTGTGTTGGAATTGATTCTTTGAATTTTCCAATATCAAAATTTAAAAGAAAAACAAAATTATTCAAAAATCAATTTTACACTTCTAGAATAACTTTTGATTATTTCAAAATCTAAATTCACAATATTTCAGAGTCAATTTTATATTTCTATAACTGTATTTTCCTCTTTCAAAAACTACATCATACATACACCCAAATAAACATAAGTGGTTTTGGTCTTTTACCATGGTCAAGTGGTTTTGGTCTTTTACCATGGTCATGTTTTTTCCTTCGTTAGAACATTAAATTACTTAGAGAAATTAACTTCTCACCTCTATGTCATTCCTCAAATTTCATTATTTTTAAAATCTTTTATTATTTATTCTAAATTTTTTATTTTTGTCAATTTTATTTTATCATTAGTCAAAGGAGTCAATTTTTTTCGGTACGCTAAGTAAATTTTTGATACCGATTTTAGTTGCTTATCAAAAATTCTTTATATTCTATAAATTTTTGGTAGCAATTAATTGAAAATTTTAAAATTTTCGGTTGCGATTCACTGAAAATTTTAAAATTTCCGTGTCAATTTTCAAAAGCTAGCACATGTAGAAAATTACGCAAATTTTCGATAGAAAACATTAATCGGAAATTTGAAATTTCCGATATGTTTATAGATGGAATTCTATATTTTTGCAGTCCTGAACTGACAACACCAGTTTCTTCTACAAATTCATGTACTGATCTTGCACAGTTCTTCGTCACAAATATGATATGGTTCTTATTTAATTTACACATTTTTTATTTGTTTTTTTGTAAATCTATGAGGTTTACTAATTATATGTTGTTGTAATTGTTTCCATTTCCATCACAGATACGAAGTCATATTTGTTTCCATTTTCATGAGACTTAACATAACATTTTTCTCACTTCTCATAGCTCCACCCTCGTACACGAGTCGATATACAATCATTTGTTGGTTTTGTCAACGAAAATTATTGAGTTCAGTTAAAATTGAAACCCGATTGTCCACTACCTCTCGTCACTACTCGTTGGAGAGAGAATTGTTCTAATGATGCAAAAACATGAAAATCAACATATGTGAGTCGTTTTAGGCATTGAGAAGAATTGTCTAGGAAGTGATTGTAGTTTTTTAATATATATATATATATATATATATATATATATATATATATATATATATATATATATATATATATATATATATATATATATATATATATATATATATATATATATATATAATATTTATTCCATTTATATATTAAGTCGGTTCGCTATTTCACTGTGTATTTTATTCAAGTAAAAGTAAAAAGTAAAATAAAAAAAGTTCCAGTACTACTAAATTTTTTAAATTTTTAGTTTTTTTCCACACATGGAAAATTTCAAATATCCGATTTTTATAATGATGAAATACACTGGAAATTTGAAATTTTCGGTACCGAATATTTCAAATTTCCGGTTAAGTTCATATGGCACTGTAAAAAATTGGAAAGTCAACAGAATTTCCGTTATTTTCGTAAAATTTCCGATACGGCATCAGAAGTTTCAAAAAATCCAATATATTACAGAGACAATTTCGTAAAAGTGTCAAAACTGAGGAATGACATGTTAAAATATGGGGTGACATGTTAATTCCTCAATTACCTTGCATGTAATGATGATACACATATCACACCAAATCTACTTCATCTTCTTCCTTTTCTCAACCTTTTCCAATTCTTTAACACCTTTCAGTCCAAATAAATAAATTTAGTGTGGTGGGTGTATCTTTACAGATGGTGGATTTGAAAACCTAAAGGTGAAAAAATTTGTAAATAGAACAAGATCTATTTGCACAGGGTGAATGAAGTAGATTATTGTAAGATACATTTGAATTCTTTTTTTCTATCTTTATAGTGTGTTTCACCCTTTTGAAGGCTAAAAATTCCTTTCAGCTATTTTCGGAGACATATTTTTAGATACACTTTGAATCACCCATCCTTCAAAAATCAAGCAGTCACTTCATTTTTACCAAAATTTGATCCTGAGATGCATCTTTAAACTTTTTTGGGGTATATTCGGAGATGCATCTCCAAAAAACACCCCTGAATCCATTTATTAAGCATTTTTCATTGAGATGGTTTATCATTTACGTGATTCATCTCCAAAAAGTCAAGTCAAAAATTGAATATATCACCATCTTGCATGATCATCTCTCTCAAACTCCATACCTCCTCCATGAGCCACAACCTTAATTTTTTTCTTCATTTTCAAACAACTTTTCGACTCCAAATCATCATTCTTGTGTTTCATCACGTCAAAGGGAGAAAAAGAAGCTGCAATTTAAGGTAAAGTTCATTCATTTCATATCTCGTTGCTTGCATTAATCTTGTTCTTGAGCTGAACAAATGAATGCTGAGTCCAACGATGCATCTCTGAATTCATCTACTATATGTTTCGAAGATGCATCTCCGAATTTTACTATTACTGTGATTTTTAAACCATTTTTCTGTTTTGGTTAATATTAGATATGATGCACCTGAATATATTTTTCAAAACTGTTTCAAGTAATGATATAAAACCAGATGAAGTGAAGGATGATGCTAAATTGGACGAGGTGAAAGATGATGTTAAACCAGTTGCTAGACCGGTTGATGTCAAGATAGATGTTGGTCAATAATTTAGAAATGGACATCTGTTTACTGCTTATGAGCATATGCTTGAATGGGTCTGCATGGAGGCCAGGAAATTAGAGTTTGGCATTGTAATCGGAAGGTCCAACAATGATTCTAATAGAAGGCAAGCATTTGAAACCATGCGATGCGAGAGAAGTGGCATGTATATTCAATCGATTTATAAGTTGAAACATGATGACACCAGATTGAGAAAATGTGAGTGTCCGTTCAAATTGCATGGATACTGTAAGGTGTATGATACATTGAAATTTAATATGATTTCTAGTTCACATAATCATGCCTTGCAAACAGAGCTAGCTGACCATCCCATCATATGTCGTCTGAAACCGAAGGAGAAGGAAATTGTTTTGGACATGTCTTTAATTAGGTTGGCTCTGAAAACATACTTGCATATTTGAAATGGAAAATATCTGAAAGTGTTTCAAATATCAAACAAGTATACAATATGCATTATCGAAACAACATGACGATAAGAGGTCTAAAAACCAAAATTCAATAACTTTTGAATCTTTTGGATGATAACCACTACGTTTTTAGATACATAGTTTATGAGGATAAATTCAACGTTCGTGACAAGTGTGAGTCCCCACATCCTATAACAAGATCCAACACTAGATTTAGCTCGTGCTCCCCCATCAAACCGAACCACGACTATGATACTACTTTTATGGAAAATTAAGATACAATAACAGACTAATCCGCAGCGAATATAAAATTTCCTAAACTTTTAAGAACAGATTAGGATCAACAACAAATATATGACAGCAAATAGAAATAACAAAGGCACAAAAGAACACTGATATTTTAATATGGAAAACTCCTCAATATATGAGTAAAAACCACGAGTCATCCAGGCCAAAGAAATAAATCCACTCCAATCAATTAAAGTAACAAGAGAGTTTTAAATTGATTCACAAACTAATGCTAACAACCGCAAATCACAAAACAAACTAACTTATAAATAAGAAAAGCTAAAAAATTACCCAAATTTTCCGCTTAAGTGTGAAGCAAATATCTCTCGGCTCAGACCTTGTTTTGATGATCCAATAGTCAAAAAGTAGATATAGATGTTGTGAATCTTCCCTCCAAATTTGAGCTTGATCCGACAGCTAACGAATCAGAGATCGTCGATTTAGTGAGACTGACTGCAAAAAAATGGGAATATGTTTCTCTCCTCTTTTCTCTCTTTTGAATCCTTATTTTCTCTCTATCTCTCCCAATTTTAAATTTACCACCTTCACTTAAATAAGTGATATAAATGGACTATTCATATTTAGGACTTTCTCTATATAGTAAGGGAAGTCAAACCCAACAAATCTCCCTCTCACAACTATGTGAAGGAAATCCCCAAACTCACGATATCACAACAAGATTCAAACTTTCCTCTTGGTAATGCTTTAATAATCATATCAGAATTATTATCATTTGTATGAACTTTAGCTAACTCCAACAAC